AGTATTTTGTGTCCACTTCCGCAGCAGTCATACCATTATTCATGAACTCATTGTCTTGTTTTCATAGCAAATTGGTGTCCAAACGGCTGTCCGCGTGTGTGAACATAGTTCCCGGCATTACATCCATCTATCGATGGAAAGGCAGCGTTGAGACGGAATCGGAGGTATTGATGATAATTAAGACGAGAACCGATCGCATCCCAGACGTGACCCGAGAGGTGAAGGCCAGCCATCCGTACGAAGTGTTTGAATTGGTTTCAGTGCCCGTAAGACACGAGCGAAGACCTGTTGATAGATATGGATGTCTTGTAATGTGTTGTGTTTGATGTGATCCTTAGATACAGACAGGAAATCCTGATTACTTGAAGTGGTTGTCGGAATCGGTGGACAGGAAGCCGATTATCGCAGATGAAGATGTGGTGCCGATTGTCATTACGACTGTCATTACGGCTGGCATTGTTATATGTGTCGGCATTTATACTCTATTCACACGATAAGTGTTGCATTCAATTGATATTCAATTTTGTGTTTTTTGAATCAAATAAATGTTTTGATCATTAAATGGTTATACATTACAACTAATTAAAGCCGTTTCCAAAAGATGTTAACAATCAATATAATCGGCAAAAATCAACTGTATTTGAATAGCTTATAAAACTTTGCGGTGTTTATCACGCTATGTATGAATGTCTCTGAACTGTAAGCAACTGTAAGAAAGTTGTGGAAACTTGTATCCACTTATTCATGTCAACCAGACACTGGTGTCTCAGATCTATGGTCGCCATGTGGTGACCATTACGTCTTGATTTCTCAATTGCCGGTAATTTGACACCAATTGCTATACTTATCATATTTTCCAATGCATTGCTAATACTTACCGTTAAATGAAAGCCAACTATAATTTGCTATAATTTGTTAATTCATTAAACATTTTTCTGTAGCTTTAAAACGAGAGCTAATTATATAACGGATTAAAATTGCATTTAATTATGTTTTTGTTATAAATTATAACTTATAATTAAATGTATAGTTAGTTTGCAATTTGTATTAATTTTTGTAAATTTATTCATTTTTTATTATAATAATAATTAGCACTCGATTTGAAAAATTAAATTAAATTTTTGTGGATTTTTTATGTTGTATTTTCTCATTTAATTGAATACATAATCGTAAAGATGTTATCAATTGTTCATTAGTTAAGAGGCACTGAATATTATATATGAATTGAAATGGTTTTTGAATATATTATATATATATATAATTAAAACAATTTTTGTTTTTATATATAAATCTGATTCCGAGAAATGAATTATCAAATGGATGTGTAATTCATTGGTTAGCCCTTCAGATCTCGTATTGGTTTTTGTTGTCAAAGAATTGTCAAAATAAAAGTTGTTTTAAACAATTTTTTCGTGTAATTTTGTGGTGAAAATAAAATTTTGTAAATTTATTAATATTTTTGGTTTAACTCATGAATTGCTTTTCAAACTCGCGATTCACAGACTTTTTCAATCGTTTTTCATGTGTTTTTGTGTTTTGTTTTTTCCATCCATTTAATTAAAACTCGCATTCAATTAAAATTTCAATTTAAACAATATATAAGTAATATATATATATATAATATAACTTATTATGTACTGTATATACAGTTATACATAAGTATAGTATTTGTTTTGGTTCATTATATATACTTTACAGTGTATTTACAAATGAGTTTTTCAATTTAATTAATTTGTTTGCTTAAAATTATTTTCATATATAATTTGTTGCCTAATATTCTTATGCAGATTTTTTCTATGAGCCGTTTATTTTATTTTCAATTTTAATTCCTCTATTTGTTTTGTAGATTTTATATTTCACTAATAATTTTGTCATTAATTTAAAGAGAGTTTAAGGGAAGGGAGGAAAGGGAGGGGAGAGAGAGAGAGAGAGAGANTTAAGCAAACAAATTAATTAAATTGAAAAACTCATTTGTAAATACACTGTAAAGTATATATAATGAACCAAAACAAATACTATACTTATGTATAACTGTATATACAGTACATAATAAGTTATATTATATATATATATTACTTATATATTGTTTAAATTGAAATTTTAATTGAATGCGAGTTTTAATTAAATGGATGGAAAAAACAAAACACAAAAACACATGAAAAACGATTGAAAAAGTCTGTGAATCGCGAGTTTGAAAAGCAATTCATGAGTTAAACCAAAAATATTAATAAATTTACAATATTTTATTTTCACCACAAAATTACACGAAAAAATTGTTTAAAACAACTTTTATTTTGACAATTCTTTGACAACAAAAACCAATACGAGATCTGAAGAGCTAACTAATGAATTACACATCCATTTGATAATTCATTTCTCGGAATCAGATTTATATATAAAAACAAAAAATTGTTTTAATTATATATATATATATAATATATTCAAAAACCATTTCAATTCATATATAATATTCAGTGCCTCTTAACTAATGAACAATTGATAACATCTTTACGATTATGTATTCAATTAAATGAGAAAATACAACATAAAAAATCCACAAAAATTTAATTTAATTTTTCAAATCGAGTGCTAATTATTATTATAATAAAAAATGAATAAATTTACAAAAATTAAAACAAATTTCAAACTAATTATACATTTAATTATAAGTTATAATTTATAACAAAAACATAATTAAATGCCATTTTAATCGGTTATATAATTAGCTCTCGTTTTAAAGGTACAGAAAAATGTGAAATGAATTAAAAATTATAGCAAATTATAGTTGGCTTTCATTTCACTGTAAGTATTAGCAATGCATTGGAAAACATGATAAGTATAGCAATTGGTGTCAAATTGCCGGCAATTGAGAGATCAAGACGTGATGGTCACCACATGGCGACCATAGATCTGAGACATCAGTGTCTGGTTGACATGAATAAGTGGATACAATTAAGATTAAATTCATGAGATAAGTAAATGGCAAGTATTTCACACCCAAAAGTGTCCACAACTTTCTTACAGATGCTTACAGTTCAGAGGCATTCATACATAGCGTGATAAACATCGCAAAGTTTTATAAGCTATTCAAATACAGTTGATTTTTGCCGATTATATAGATTGTTAACATCTTTTGGAAACGGCTTTAATTAGTTGTATAAACCATTTAATGATCAAAACATTTATTTGATTCAAAAAACACAAAATTGAATATCAATTGAATGCAACACTTATCGTGTGAATAGAGTATAAATGCCGACACATATAACAATGCCCGCCGTAATGACAGTCGTAATGACAATCGGCGCCACATCTTCATCTGCGATAATCGGCTTCCTGTCCACCGATTCCGACAACCACTTCAAGTAATCAGGATTTCCTGTCTGTATCTAAGGATCACATCAAACACAACACATTACAAGACATTCATATCTATAAACAGGTCTTCGCTCGTGTCTTACGGGCACTGAAACCAATTCAAACACTTCGTACGGATGGCTGGCCTTCACCTCTCGGGTCACGTCTGGGATGCGATCGGTTCTCGTCTTAATGATCATCAATACCTCCGATTCCGTCTCAACGCTGCCTTTCCATCGATATATGGATGTAATGCCGGGAACTATGTTCACACACGCGGACAGCCGTTTGGACACCAATTTGCTATGAAAACAAGACAATGAGTTCATGAATAATGGTATGACTGCTGCGGAAGTGGACACAAAATACTTCGCGATATCTTTGGCGACCTCATCGTTAGGCGCCGACACGTATGCCATCGAGAAGTCTGTCCCCGACCTGTGTCTGCGTCGAAGTCTGTATGGGATGTAAGACGACGAGCCCTCCGCTGAAGACATACCTCTGGAGCCGATTGTCTTGTGACGGATCAGATGTCTTGTGGTGGACGACAATAAAGCGCTTGAAATCAAGTAAGCGTTCAATAAATGTCCGAAACTTAACATAAAATACAAGACTTTTTTTTGGGGAACAGTTTCAGAGAGTGTTTGTGTCANCATACCTCTGGAGCCGATTGTCTTGTGACGGATCAGATGTCTTGTGGTGGACGACAATAAAGCGCTTGAAATCAAGTAAGCGTTCAATAAATGTCCGAAACTTAACATAAAATACAAGACTTTTTTTTGGGGAACAGTTTCAGAGAGTGTTTGTGTCAGTGATCAACAAATGGCCGCAAGATATATGGGACCAAATCGGATGACTTAACGCATCGACAAGTATTTCATCAGAAAAAGTCACAAAAACTTTGCTTTTGTTTACATTTGACTGAACTGTCACTCAAAGCACGTGTTGTTTGGCGTTACTATAGAAACCAATGAAACGCTTGTTTTGGGTGACAGTCACGCAAAGAGTTGTCGAGAGTTGCGGTGATAATCGCTTCCAAACAATCACTTCATCGCCAATTCAGCCAATTGAAGACACCCGAAGACAATGACCAAGAATTTGGTCCAATATATTGTGGTCAGGGGTGACCTCAAGTGGCCTACCGGTGCTCTTATAGGTATCGTAAACGCTCCATACGTTTAGAAACCAAACGTATCCTAAATTATCACTTCATTTGATCCATTGATGTCTCACTTGAAGGCAACGCATGTCACGCATCGGTGGCCGCCATTGCGAAGCACATGTCAACGGATCCCGAAACTCAAGAGTATGTCTCGCAATTGGATTCAATGACAAAAGTGGTGCTCAAAGCGGACTCCGCGGACGTACTACAAGACGTTTGCCACCGATTAGACCAAAACAACGTCGAGTACTATCTGTGGAGAGAGCAGCCCGAAGACATCATCACATGCGTGGCCACCACTCCCAGACCGCGGGATCTCCTCAAACCACTGCTCAGCCATTTGAAGCTATTTAAGTGACGATCCGTTTTGTGGTATTTATTTGTGATTTCATTTGTTTGGCCACCAATTGTACGCTATTTTTAAAAAGTAATTAAAACTATAAAATCAAATCTATTTTATCGAAATGTGTTTCGTATGAATGAAAAGTGCTTTTCATTTATAGCCACAAATTCCGGACACATTTCGCGTACAGAATATTCTGTTCGTTAGTGTTTTGAAAACCTTTTTTCAGACCTTTTTTTGAATTAAACTTAAACTTCAAACGCGTCTCAAAAAATACAATCGTTTTATTTGACGATAAAATTACAGCAAATTTTTCATTTACCGGTAGTTATGAAAGAGTTTAGGAAATTGTTACTCAAATCTCACTTTAATTGTAATAATATTATACATTCATTAATAATAAGTTATATTCAAAAACAACTCGTAATTCACTTCAGCTCTCGAAACGGCTCTTCAATTGTCTTTATTTTACAAAAATCTCATAAAATCGCGAAATGAGTGCTAATTATGATAATAATAATGTAAATAAAACATAGACTAAACTCATCGACAGTAAGCTCTCCTATAATAATAATAATAATAATAATAATAATTAAAATCAATTTATTTATTAGCTATATATTCAAACCGTCAGTCCATTAGACGTAAGAATTAGTGGTATTTATAAACAGAAAAATACTCGGACTTCGAGTCCAAACCAAATCATATAATTAACTATAAAAACACGTGATTTAAAGCCTATAATAATACACCGACTCAGCCGTCAAAACATCACTTAAAGTAGTCCTTAGAGTGAGTAAATCGGTCGGGATTTTGGATGCGAGCGTTGATGTAGTCATCGTCGGTCACAATGCGATCGCCGACAACATTGCGGACCAAAGCGTCGAAACTGTGGTTCAGAACCGCATTACTCGACATCTCGTTCACTATCTCCTCGCCATTTGCCGGTACTCTCGGCTGAGCGCCGGTCGCCGATAGCGCCGTCCGCAACGAGTCGCGCAAATTGATTGGACGCCTCTCTATGCGCCGCCTTTTGGACATCCCATTCATGTAGGCGTCGCTCACCGGGCGCTGCGCTGGGAGTCGGCGCTGGCGTTCAATATCGTTGGTTATGATCGGCACCTAAAACGACAAACACATCAATCAGACACTCAAAGCACACAACGAGTCAACCAATTATATACCCAATCGGTGGGAACCGACGAATGCCAGGCCTCCGACCCGATCACCACAGACGGCATATCGTTATAAGACGGGTCCCTCTGTTGGCCGCCATTCATGTGCCGTACGGTGTCGTCGAACTCACTCCTGGCGTCCAAAAACTCCACGTTTTCCGCGTCGGCGTCGGAGGCGGCGCCGCCGGCAGTGCTATCGGCGACGGGAGCGGTGGGCGCGACGGCACCGACCACTGGCTCACTGCCAGCCCTCACGATATATGACTGAGTGTTAGGACTCTGTTCTGTATTATTATTATTGATGTATTCGTTGAGATGTCTGACGGCCACAGAACTCATCCACTCCTGGATCTCGGGGTTCAGTTCAGACGACATGTGCTCCTGAAGTCGTACCACAAATACAGACCATTAGAGTCTTAAACATATCTTAAGAAAACGAGTCAATACTCACAATAAAGGCGCCGACTATTCGTTGCAGAGCTAACACTCCGTCCGTAAAGCAAACTAAACGACAAAAACATTTGTATTCATAATAATAGCGATTAAAATGGGATTAAAATTCGTGGCAAACCTTGACTTAAGGAAATCAAATCAATGAGGAATTCGCGAACAATAGTGAAGAAAGTGTTTCCGAACTCCAGTTCCGGTGGGAAGAGAAAGAACTGTAAGATTCGGTTCAAATTGAATCTCAAGAACTGGTCCACAGTTGACATCAAATCGATTTCCGGCACAAGACTTATACCCGACTGTATGGACACAAACATCGCACCAATTACTACACAATTATCACCAAAACCTCATCCGAAGCGCGCTTACAATCATGACTTCAATACCGGGTCTCCAAGAGTTGATGATCTGAGTGACGGCGGTCTGTATGTTCTCATTGGTGGCCGGCTTTCCCTCGAGAATGTGTGTCGACACGAATTGTCTGATCGGTTCTCTCACGCGATTCAGTGGCTCCGGATTGCCGGCGAAGATGAGGAACAGGTCCTGAAAGGTGAGCACTCGCGCCATAACCATAAACACATCGTTGGCTATACTCTCGCCCTCGACGTACGAGAAGCCCTCCAATTGTGCCAAAAAGTTGGACACATTTATGGCTTCAGTTTGACCGCCGCTTATGATCTGAAGGATTCCGTTCACGAAAGACATGAACATATCCGTCATATTCGACGCGTTGTTCCCATTGTTCTGCGAGTCTTCGGAACCAGTGTTGGAGTCGTTGTTCTGCGGCCTCTCGTTGTTGAGGCGACCCATGAGGTCAATGAGAGTCGGGTCCACATTAACGGCGGCCCCACCGACAAGAGTGGGTCCGATGTTAGTGCCGGTGCTGTTGGTGTTGCGGTTGGGGTCGGGAGGGGTGGGCCCACCGGCGCCAAGACCTCCGCCTAAAAAGCCACTCAATATTCCGTTCACTATTTGTCCCAAATTAGGAAACGGGTTGTTATTCGCCGACTGATTGTCATTAAGATTGTCGTTATTATTGTTATTAGTGGTCGACTGTCGCGTAGGCCTACCGGTGCTGATGCCGACACTCACTTGGGTTCGGATCTCCGGTATAGTGAACGGAGAGTTGCTGTCAAACGAGTCAATCAAGTGTTAATTAAAATTAAAAATAATTAATAAATAAAGATATGATTGAAACAAACCATCGAAGGTATGGATCAAAGTGTGGAATCAAGACTCCGGGCGCGTGTGGGAGGGGTTGGGACTGCGGGGGAGTAGTTGTCGATGAGTTACCACTGTTTGACTGATTCGCCGAACCATTGGTTTGGGAACCGTTAGTGGTATTAGCGGTCGTAGGGTTAGGGTTAGGGTTGGGAACAGGTATCTGATGGACAGTCGACCCCAACTCCATCACCACAATCGGTGTCGTCTGCGAGAACACAGCGGCGCCCGTCTGGGGGTCGACCGAAACGTTGGCACCGAATCGCGG